GATAAAATGAAATACCAGACACATATTTTTTACGTATATTAAGGGAGCGCAGCATGATCCACAAATTTTACTCTTAAATAAGCCATGGAGCCAACGCTCAGCCTCAGCATGCAAAAAGCCAATCACTTTACACAGACGCGAGATAGAAGACGCACTCTTCGCTGGAACACCCTAATCAGCACCAGTGATACACTGCTGGAAGATAATAGCGCCGTAGGCCTTTGACCACAAAATCAGCATGCTCGATCGTGAGCAGGCAGTTCTGCATCCGGACTAACCTACTATGGCCTAACATCTTCTGGCCCAACCTTTTAACGCTGCCCCGACTCACAACCTTCTTGCAGCCAATAATTACTGGCTCTACCTTCTCACTTGCCCCTCCTCTCTAACGTCCAACAGCCAATGAGGTTAGGTTAGGTCCGCTCAGGTTCGTTTTGCGTGGTGAAATGTTGCGACTTGTGAATGTTAGGTCAGCAGATGTTTGGCGGGAATAGGTTTGGCCAGATGCAGTATGACCACGCTTAACTTGGGCATGTTTAAGCTGTGGCAGTGGGTATACGGCGAAATGGCTTTAAGAACTGCACTTAATAGGCCGCTATTCCCTCTAGCTTTCTTACACTCGTAAAGGAATGTGATTAAAGTGTGAAGTTGGGTGAAGCTGCCTCCGGCATGCACCCCGTTTATTAAGCAGAAGCCAGGTTCCACTCTGATTTCTGTTATCATTGATTTATTGTTAAAATTTTCGCCTTTCCTGTTACTGCACACCGGCTCGTATAATCATTGTATAACTTCTTCATGATCAGCAGCTTGATGCAATATATAGTGTGGCCCTGTACTAATTCGAAATTGTTCATCGTCAACCTCATATGTTGAGTAGGTCTTGCTACGAGAATCCTTCAATTGTGAATAAAGCACATTTGTCCCCTAGAGCGTAAGCTGGAATCCGACGCACACATAATTAAGGTATGTATTTTCCCACATAAGAAGGATATGAAAATTTTTTTGCATGCAAAGTTTTTATTAGTATATTTCTCAAAATTTCCGTAAACAGTAGCTCACTTTCTGTAAGATATAAACTGTGCGAGACTAATCCAAACGTAATCCAATTTTTCCTAAAAAGTGGTGTTCAAGTTCAAGTACAAACCATCCATGCTACAAAAGACTTCAGGGTAACATTTGACTAAGAATATGCGTATTTCACGGCCTAAATCAAGTCTTCCTTGCAGACGAACGAATATTGAGATTTCTTTTGCCATAGATTACAGATTATGTAAATAACTATATAAAACGTCGCTTAAATTAGAGATACTAAAACATTCTGAATGAAATTATGCGCCAGGCATGAAATGATGCCTTTAAAAATTGAGACGTTAGTGAAATTAAGCCGTATTCAGTATTTCGTAATTTTTAAAACAGGGTTGATGGAGTTATGAATGCCTCACATGTCGCTCAAAATTAAATTCTCGAAAAACGCTTTCGATCGAAAAGGCTTTCAGACATCCAACCGCCTACCAAAGCCTATGTTACGCGGTAAATTTAATAAGAGATGAAGATACTTATAGAATTAATATCTTATGACATGCCTTAAAACTCTCCAGAAATTTCAACAGTCATTTAAAGTCTCACAAACACTCAACATTGATGGCATTAACAGACAAGCAAATATCATCGCTCTAGTATATGCATATGATATGCATCCGTGATCTGGATAATTACAACGACAAATAATCTTCTTAATACTAATGAATTACATTCATTTATATTCATAAATAAAATCTAATTTTCCAGTCCCACATTACAATGAAAAGTTGCAAATAATATTTGAACAAATCAATGAAAGCCCATGATAGTTTGGTATAAATTTGAACGTCTGCAAGTTGATAAGTATGTGTGTCAAAAAACGTATGTATTACAAAATTTGTTTTTAAAACTCACACTAGTTAAAGTAACTAAAACTGCCCAAAAACTAGAATAAGGTTGATTTTCTAGCGTTAAAAATGTGTAAGCTGAAAATAGAGGTTGCAATAGTCGATAGTCAGTCAATATAGAGGTTAAGATCTCTATCATTTTCATTTGAGATCTCTATTTTCATATCAAATAAAAATGAAAATTAAAAATTATTCCTGAAAACTTAAATTTTCATATTTTTGTCAGCGTTAATTCCTTTTAATTATAGTTATTCAAAGGCAGTGGCTATTGTCGATGGCGAGTATTGACTATATATATCTGCATTAGGCGAATGGCTTTGCATTAAGAAAACTTTTATATGCTTTTAAGTGTCGTTGTCGCATATTTTATTTGACTAAACAGTAATTTATCTCAAATCATAAATAAATACGGACATAGCATATAACAGCAATAATTTAAAACTTTATTCGCAGCCAATCAAAACTGAAACAATGCATGGAAATTTTGTGGTCCAAGAATGAATATTTTTTCACTTCTCAGAGGACAAATTTTCATGGAACAATTCTTATACAGGGTGCGGCGCGGGAACTTACTTATTTGAATTGCGCGCCACGTGGCGGCCATTAGTCCTAGGAAGGTGGCGCCATGCGCAATATGGTGCGCGGGCTATGAAGTTTTTCGTCCACTCAGTTCAGTTGCGACCATGCAGTGGTCGAGAGAGGAGCAGTAATTTGTAATTCAAAAAGCTAGTCATAATTTGAAAAGGTCATTGAGACAAATCTAATTATGTATAACACAAGACTTTACCATGGGCGCTTTGCCCCGTGACACGCGTGGGCCCGTTGCCCCCACTAGGTATCATTTCAATTTATATCGTTTTATTTTAAAAGCTAATAGTCTAAACTTGGTCTCAAAATTATCCCTATAAATATTACTTTGAAAAAATAATTCAAAGTAATTTCAAAATCTTCATCTATAGTAATGGAAAAAAACTTTATTTAGCGGCAAAAAAATTATTATCTGGACTAAAACAGTTATTCGCAAAGAACTTAATAACGCAAACACTTAGCAAAACGTAAATCCGTACACTTCATCCCAGTGAAACTGCCGACCGGCGGTAGAGAACACGGACCAATATCTGCCATACTTAGCGAGAAACCCGCTATGGGCCCATGACCCGCAGTGGGCTCGCTGCCCCATGTTACCCTATGTGTGTCAAAAAACGTATACGTATTATATAATTTGTTTTTAAAGCTCACACTCGTCAAAATGACTAAAACTGGCCAAAAATTAGAATAAGGTTGATTTTCTAGAGTTACAAAATATGTAAACGGACAATAGAGGTTGCAATAGTCAATAGTCAGTTAATAGAGGCTAAGATCCCAATTGTTTAGAGTTTAAGATCTCTATCATTTTCATTTAAGATCTCTATTTTAATATCAAATAAATGAAAATTAAAAATTATTTCTGAAAACTTGAATATTCATATTTTTTCAGTGTTATTTCCTTTTAATTATAGTTATTCAAAGGCAGTGGCCATTGTCGATGGCGAGTATTGACTATATACGTTATATCTGCATTAGGCGAAAGCTTTAAGAAAATTTGTATATAATTTTAATTGTCGCTGTCGCATATTTTATTTGACTAAAATTAGTCGTATGTAAAAACACAGTAATTTATCTTCAATCATAAATGAATACGGACATAGCATATACAGTAACAGCAATAATGTAAAACTTTATTTGCAGCCGATCGAAACTGAAACTATGCATGGAAATTTTGTGGTCCAGGAATAAATATTTCCTCACTTCTCAGAGGACAAATTTTCATGGAACAATTCTTATATATCAGAGTAAATCAGAATAGATACATTTCATTGGCTTCGGAAAATCTGTTGTGTAAAAATTTATATTTCACACATATTATCAAGATTCAACTATTATTATCAAATCCTTAAACGCGTAGAGATACAGAACATTCTGTATAGATATTATGTTCTCTGATATGCATGGAGTTTAAGAGATATGTTTAAATTTTAATTAATATTTATACGAATTTCGTCTTATGCCAACATTGCCAAAATGCCCGGAACCTACTTCATCCCAAGCAATTAACATTAAACGCAAAATTTTTTTGACTTCTTAAGTCTAACTATTTTACGATAAGGTGAATTCTCTATTCTACGGTAACAGTTCTTCCTCCTCCTTACATCCTAGAAGTGTCAAAATATGGCAGTAAATCATTGTGTTATTCCTCTCGCCTTCAAACCTTTCTATACAAGCCAACGCTCAAACATTTATACGCATTTGTTCTATTCCTAAAATACAATAAATAGGAAGATAAACATTACATAAAAAATATAGGCAAAATGTTCATGGTGAATTGGCAAATATCTCTTCAATGCTTCGCTCGATATATATGATCACCTTTTTTAGTAATCGAAGAGGTTCAGTTGCATGTGACTTGCATTTTATTTTTTTTTTTCAATGCAATCTGACATGAATTCGCTAACTCGGTTTCATTTTTTGGGTTTCAACCCACTGCATATTTCAACATACTTTTTCATGTCTTATTGTGAGTCACTCCACTTTCTGGCTGAACCTGGATTCAAATTTAAAAATTTTAGAAAAAATTTGAATTCCTAGATTGATACCATAAGAAGAATTTCAAGCTACTAATTAGGGTTCACTAACAAAGAAAACGTTGAAGAGTTCAACGTTATGAAAACCAAACCTACGCACCCATAAATGCGATGTTTGGTTGATAATTTTTCACGCGAGTGCTTGTTTATATCAAATCAATTTATAGATTAAATAGAGAGACCAATGTTCACTTGTGTTTGCATTTTAAACCCGATGAAAAACCCAGCGAAACATTGAGTAAATCTCAGTCTTATTGTCAAAAATTAACAAATTTCAAGTCAGATGTTATTTGTCGTGCGGTCTACTCGACGGGTCTGATCTTGAGCACTAAGGTCTTCAGAGAATAGTTGTGGGGCGGTGGTCTACTCGACGGGTCTGATCTTAAGCACTAAGGTCTTCAGAGGATAGTTGTGGGGTGGTTGGTCTACTCGACGGGTCTGATCTTAAGCACTAAACGGGTCTGATCTTGAGCACTAAGGTCTTCAGAGGATAGTTTGAGTCCTTCCAGTGCCACCATGTCACCCCCTTCTCGGCGCCGTGGTAGCGGCCGCGGCGGTACTGTCCCGTAGGCTGCGTGCACGAACAGCGCCCCCACCACCAACCTCCCCCGCCGCGGCCACGGGCGCAACTGCCCCCTGTATAAAAAACTTTGTAATTAGAAATAAAATCCTACATATTTATTAATACGCATTGCCATAGGACACGTGAATTTTTTTATTTATAGTTTTTAATTATCTTAAAACAACAGCAGTCATACGAGTAGCGCAGCCAAGCTCGTCTCAAAGTTCGTTCGCAGTTTTTAAGTCGTGGCCAACGCTGTACGATTGGGACGATTTAGAATTTATAAAAATTGTCTGCAAGGCCGAATTCTGCGAACTTCGAATCAAACAGAATTGACAAAACAACGAGAATTTACACAACAACAATAGATTAGACTTAAAAGCAAAGTGAACGAAAGTTAGTGAGTTACTTTCAACAATAAATTCAGAGTAGATTTGGAAGCGTAAGCACTTAAAGAAATAAGGGATGCTTTGTATCAAATGGGCTGCATTTCTCGACCTAATGGGGCCATCCTAACGCAGTTTGGCCTAACAAATTGCGTATCAGTACTACGTTTTCACTCTGTTATTTATGAGGGTACGAAAATGGATCAATATTTGGAAAAATGATCCATTCATTTTGTGAATGGGGTGGAATGACTCACAGCTTTCTTGGTCGTTATCGCGGTCGACGGTTGAGAACATCTGCAGGTGAGAGTGCCGCATGCTGTCACCCGCCGTGCCGGTGTAGCCGGACACCCGCAGCCGGTAGCGCTCGTCTGGTCCTGCAACCCTGCACACAGGAAAATTAATTGGTTATATTGTCCAAATGATGATACGTTTTCTACAATGAGATGTTCTTTTTCCGGTATAAAACGGGTCTGGATGACCCGTACCGGGCAAAAATTGTATCGCTATTTGTGCAGAGTATTACTAATTTCCTGGAGTTTACGGTACCTTCAGAAATTAACTTGACGCGGTTACTCGAATTCTTTAGTAACGTGGTATATATAGTTCACATTTTATGGCGAATGATTTTCATCATAGAAACATCCGGAATAAACTCTACAAGATTTCACAACAAATTTATCCGTGAAAATTTCGACGAAGTGATGCTAAATTTTCTAACGAATAGAATCAATAGATTATTCCAGTCTCATGAGTGAGCAAATATACTTTTTTTCATTGTATTAAAAAGTAATTTAATTTAAAATTCTGAACATTTNGTTGAAAATATCTTCTCAAAAGACCAGTTTTTAGGCCTGTTTACAAGTCACGACAAGTACTAGAATCGGCAATATGCAAAAAGATGCCTATTTCTTCAATGCCGGAGATGCTACGCTATGCTATACTATGCTATGCTATGATATGCTTTGCTTTGCTATGCTATGCTATGCTATGCTATGCTATGCTATGCTATGCTATGCTGTGCTATGAATGGGGTGGAAATGGGGCGAATGGGGTGTGCTATATAAAATGCGATTCTTTCTTAACGGGAATTTTCAATATTTTGTTATTTCTTACTGTAAATAGGGACAATTTAGAAGAGATACGTATGTCGGTATGTGTTTTATTTTAGGTGCGGTTATGTCATTCGGATTGATGTTATGAAGTACCTAAGCATGAGTTAAATTACTAAGGGACAAGGTGCGATTACTTTAGACTACTTTACTTTACTTTACTTTCGACTACTTTATTACTATAGACTACTTACACGTGAGCGACGCGATTCTATATATATTATGCTCTCTCTTTGACAATTATTATGTTTGATATTCTTCATGACGATGAATGAGTGCTTCCTAATCAGAAAAATATACGATCTGTGAAATGTGCAACGATTAGTTCAGACTTACGAACTTATGTCATAGGGACTAACTGATGCGAGTCCTTTTAACTTTATTATCATCATTAATCCTACTATAAAATAATTATCATCAAATCTTGCTATAACATAATTATAATTTAGTCCTGCTACAGCATAATTGTCTTCTAGTCCTGGGGCCATACTTTCAAAACTCGCTAAGTGAACGGAAGTACATATACGCTCTATTTTCTTGTCTATATATGATTGGTGAATTTTGCTTGAAAAGCCGTCACTGATTGGCTGATGAACTTACGATCTCTTAACTTTTTTTGAAAGTACAGGCCCTGATATATCATTATTATCATCATTATTATGGTACCCAATGACTCACGAGAAAAAATTGTACGCCGCCCAGGCATGCCGACCCTCCCAATCCTCGAGGTCGGCGCGCAGTGAATACGACCGCTCACGCGTCAGGAAGTGCAGCGGCTCCAGTCCTGCTCAGTCACATTATAATAAACATCATGTACATTTAAGACAAACAGCACTACGCTATAAAATACCATAAAAACTAAAACTTTCACTAATATGCTAACTAACTGCTACCATCCACAAACGTATAGGGTGAAATTGCCAATCGTAGGGTAAATTGGTATGAATAATGGCTTTAACCTAGTTAATCCAGTCATTTTCGTGCGACGTTCAATACTTCTCGGACCTCTTTTATCTATTTAATTAAAAATCACACTCTTCTAACATTTTGATCGCCTATCGCTGGCAAGTAAGATGTTATGATTAAAAAAAATACATTTAAATTATTGACTACTAATTAATACCGACAAAATTCTAACCCAAAATCATTTCGTGTCTCACGCAAGATATTAATTAATGCTACCAAAAGACAGATACAAATGCTCAAACTTTATGGTTCAAAGAATACCGAATTATAAGAGGTATAAAAAGTTTATTATTATATAATAATCAGTATAATAGGTTTATAAGTGATATAGCTGCATGCGTTTGAACGGCTTAATATTCAAGACCGCTCATTGGCAGGGCGTTGCTATCTGTCGGAATTTCCATACACTCATTTTTATGTGTATGGAAATTCTCATGTAGTCGCTCACAGTCCATACACTCATGTAGTCGCACGCTCATGGCATAAAGCAAATGATCTGTGACAGACGCTTACATTTCTTAATTATTAATAAATAAACATAATGATTAAAATTAATTTAAAATGAAATAAAATAAATTTCTTTATTATTAATGAAATACAATCGTATTCATTCTCTTTCGGAGTGGTATGTTTGAAAATAGTTAGTGTTAGTTTAGTGTTCGCTTGCGGCTAGCATTAAATGAGTTTCAATTTACCAGAATACAAAATAAGACAAATTTTCTTGGTTCATAATAAAGTATATAATTTATATCTGTTTTCGAGAAGGTCAAACGTGTTCTTCGTTTTCAGTTAGAATACAACAAACTAAATCGTCGTGATCAACAGGATTTACTGACATAGCGTTGAAAGGATAAGCGTGATGAGAATAAATTCGTGAATATATTCATATGTACTCGTATGAGTTTTTGAAGCTCATTATTTCGTAATCAATACTCGTAATCTATACTCCTTTTCAATATAAAATATAATCGTAATGTTAAGAATAAAATTCAGACGCAACAATTGAGAATCCAGTAAGAAATACAGTATCAATTGCTCCAACTCTATAATATTATTTGAATTTAAATTAACTGTTAGTTTATGATTGATATTCAGACTCACCAACTAATCCAGTATCCAGTTATACAGCATCAAATGCTCTACCTCTTTAGTACTTTCTGAATTTCAAATTTTGTTACTTTATGATTGATATTCAGACTCACCAATCCAATATTCGCGGCTGGGCTCACCGAAACCCAATTCGTAGTCGGTCCAGGTTCTGTTGAAGCTGATGTGTCGCGGCACCTTCTTCCTGGAGATGATGACAGTCCAGCCGCCCCCCTGCGTCGTTTGGTCGCACATTACCTCCCGTGACAAGAGTCCCGTCGGTTGGATCCTGTACACTCCGCTCTCGACAAAACCAAGATCGAAGACGTCTTGGCAGTCACGAGGCATGGGAGGATATTCGAGATAAGTTTCAGGATCCTCCTGGCAATCCTCAGGCTTTGAAGGGAAAAGGGAATCTAGCCCTGCACGGATCCTGTCAAAGCCTGTTGTTTGCTGGTCATGCTTTGCCTGGTGCCGTCCTTTTGCTCTTGGTTTCTCTCGGCCTGCGTACGGCGCGCCCGCTCGAGATCGGTCTCGGTCGCGACCTCGATATCCCCGCTGTCGTCCGTAGACGCGATCTCTATCATGACCGCCTCGAAAATAAGGGTCAGGAGCCATTGTGGTCTCGTTGCTAAAAATGATACCGAAAGTTTCGAGCGTCTCTTGAGTTTCAAGGGGATTTTTTGTGCATCCTGGAAGAAATCGGTCCGAGGAAGATGGCTCTTGATGGTCAATTTCTTCGTCCTCGAAAGGCTCGTCGTAGCTGGCGGTGGGCAAGAGGGACTCCGGAGTGCTGTAGTGTGGACGCTGGAGGCTGTCCACAAGCATTTGTTGTTCGCGCACAACTGTAGCCAAGTTGTTGTTAACTTGGTAGAGCTTCTTGCGCATGGCGTGCATGTAGCACACAAAAGTGTCGTTGGCCGCCTGTATGCCTCTGATAACTATGTTATTTTTCTGTAGAACTTCTTCCCTGGCATCATAGACGCTATTGCGCACTGCATATAATTCTGCTTTTTGAGATCTAAGTTCATTTCGAATCTCATCGCCCTGCTCTGTAATTTTTCTGAAGCCTCTTTTCATTCTCCGTTCAATTTCACGGACATCTCGGGACAGCGGAGGGTCCTCTACCGGCTCTCTGTCTCTCTGCTCTTCCGTTCTCGGCCTGACGTGATGATCAACGTCTCTGTCTGCGTATCCGTCTCTGTTGAGCCGCACCACCTCTTCTCGCAGTTCTCTGATCTCATAATTAATCTCATACTGCAGAGCATTAAAAAGATCCTGTGTCTCTCTGCGCGTTTCTCCCAATTCGCGGCGAATTTCTCGCAGCAGCAACGCCAAGCTTTCGAAACTGGCCGGAACTTGTCGGTTCTTATGAGCGGTGTTGTAACTATCAAAAGCAGCAGTCAAAACTGCCATGAAATGGAACACGAAGATAACTTTGAAAATCATCTTATTTCTACGCTTATGGAATGCCAGAAGCTTCAATTAAACTCATCGCCTCTCAATCCAGCCACTTTTCTTAAACATCGGCAAAAAGTAAATCAAGCGACATCTCAGTTCTCTAAACACAGCCTCCAAGGCTCGCCTCTAACCTCCTTTCGAGATTTGGAGGTCATTGCATTGCCAAGATCAATGCGGGGGCGGAAGGAGCCTCAACAATAGACCGAAAATTTTCTTTTTAACAGTAGCGCCTTTCTTATTTAAGCACTACAATAATTATCTTTGGGATCTCAAAGGAAGTTTAAATTTCTGTATGAATCACGGCAGTGAGTTACGAGTAAGTTACGATTGTCCTAGAAGCCGAGGCGTGAGAGTCGCGATGGTCGCAGCAACGCGGCTGTGGTCACACGCGTCGCCGCAGGACTGCTGCCCAAAGCTGCCTGGACCGACAGATCTGCTCCCTCGCCCGTCCTCTCTTTTCCCTCTCGCCTCAGTGTGATGTCCGAGCCTCTTCCCTCGCCTCATTCTGGACCGACAGATCTGCTCCCTCGCCCGTCCTCTCTTTTCCCTCTCGCCTCAGTGTGATGTCCGAGCCTCTTCCCTCGCCTCATTGTGATGCTCGGGCCTCTTCCCTCACCTCATTGTGATGTCCGGTCCTCTTCCCTCGCCTCATTGTGATGCCCGGGCCTCTTCCCTCGACTCACTGTGATGTCCGAGCCTATTCCTTTGCATCATTGTGATGCCCGGTCCTCTTCCTTCGCCTAATTATGATGCCCGGTCTTCTTCATTCGTCTAATTGTGATGCCTGGTCCTCTTTTTTCGCCTAATTGTGATGCCTGCGCCTCTTCCTACGCATCGTACGCATGTCTATTCACAATGAAATCGCTGTACAACATCACTATGTCTTTCGGAAATAGAAAATTGCAATTGAACTTCCAAACCTTTCTAAATCTAATGCATAATCTAATATATTTATCTCTCATACTACAATTTTCGCTCAATTTATTTGTTCTCTCATATGATATACAAATTTTCTTCTACACTTTTCCCTCTTTTTACAATCTAGCCAACAATTTCTCCTATTAAAAAATACTCATTCTGGAATTAGTTTGTAAAATAACTATTTTAATGCTCGTTCATGAGCGTCCCCTTGCATTTGCGGTGCCAATCTTCTGACGATCGCACAAGAAAAAAGTAAGAGGGATAGTTTGAAAGAAAATCTTTAATAACAACATGGGCATAGAGATACGAAGTTGCATGACAATAGTGTAATTTCAAGGAACAATGCAGTTACACTTTTTAATAGAGAAAATGCCATTTCATCACACTTGCCCATATTGAAATGGTTATAAATGGCATGATCTGCTGCCATCTGATTAATGAGATCTACGCGTAATACGACAGGGTCGCTGCCCAAGTTGTCGTACCTTTCGATCATAGAACAAAATTTGTGTCTCATTGTTCATGTACGGTTAATATTTATATAAATATTTGCCGTTATTTTCTTCGAGCTCTCATAATTAAAGGTTGTGATGATTAATTATCTTATGAGTCACTGTTAGCTTCGAAAATTTCTTGGCGTTTCATTTATTTTCCTAGAATAATACGTAGAATAATAATACGTATACGAAGTCTTGTAGTTGCATCACAAATAATGTACTGGGAATTTGCTAAAACTGCATTTTCATTTCGAGGCTTTGCTGGCTTGCACACTGAATAATAATGTGTCTTTATTTAATTCGCGGCATCATAAATTAATTTCACCGTATTAATTAAATTTATAATATTTTAATGGCATACTTTATACTCTGAATAAGTTGTTTTCGGATAAGAAACGTTTTTGAACAAAAGACCTGCAATTAGAATATTCCAGTCGTCAGTTTACTAGTCCAGCCAGGTACAGAACGTCGGATTCAACGCCAGAACCAAGGTTTGAAGTCAAAGTCAGGTCGTGGGTTAAGTTAACCTTTGAGGAGAGAGAAGCCTCTGATGCGAAGCCTTCGTTCTTGCACGCATCGTCCGATGGCTGCGAGAAACAACAAAAATATTTAAAAATATAATTAATAAATATAATTAATAAATCAATATAATGTTTTAACTGATGTTTTATTCAATATAATGTTTTGTTTTAATCTAGAGCTGAATTATGAGTGTTTAATACAGAGTTTTTCAAATACTGATTCATTTGCGTAATTCTGATGGATACATTAACCTTCCTTTAGCTCCGGTAGAACGACTAAACTCTTGAAATTAATTTAAAAAGTCACATAATATAACGTGACAGAACGTCTGACATCAAGTAATTTAAGTTATAATATGCTTCCTAATTCTTAACTTTATATATTTGAAGATGAAAAAATATACAAAAAAATTTACGAACAAAAAATGAAATTTCAAAACCGATAACCCCAATATTATAACCGAAAAACTAAAAAACACCGGAAAAGCGGAATTATATCAACGGAAATCTCTGCATAAATACCGTTGAAGAGATACTGCTTGCAGACGTCGGTGTTGCCGTAAGCAGACAACCCCTGAGGGTGGAAGAGGTACGGACACTCGCGCTGGTCCTTGAGGCAGGTCAGCCCCAGGCCACACTGCCCGTAGGCGCTGTACGGCCCACCACACTCCTCACCCAGAGACTGAGGCAGGTTAGTGGTTAGCTAGGCAGGTACTCATGGAATATGTTGTACTGGGTGTAGTAGTAGTATAAGTTGTACTGGGTGAAATAGTAGTATTTGGTGTATTGGGTGTAGTAGTAGTATATGTTGTATTGGGAGTAATAGTAGTAAATATTGTATTGGGTGTGGTAGTAGTGGCATATGTTGTACTGGGTGTAGTAGTATATGTTGTATTGGGTGTAGTAGTAGTATATGCTATATTGGGTGTAGTAGTGGTATATGTTGTATTGGGTGTAGTAGTAGTGGTATATGTTGTACGAAGTGTATTAGTAGAATATGTTGTATTGGGTGCAGTAGTAGTATATGTTTATTGGGTGTAGTAGTAGTAGTATATGTTGTACTAGGTGTAGTAGTAGAAGTATATGTTGTATTGGGTGTAGTAGTAGTGGTATATGTTGTCTTGAGTCTAAAAGTAGAATATATTTCATTGGGTCTATAAGTAGAATATGTCGTGGTAGGTGTAGATGTTTCAAGGCGTCAATGATATACATTATATTGGGTACAGAAATTTTCCGGCACATGCGGAATGAGTTGTGTTGAGGATAGAAATTTTAAGGCATTTCTTAAAGATGTTGTATTGGTTATTGAAATTAAATATGTTGCATTGACCATTGAAGTTATCTATGATGTATTGGGTATAAAAGTTTCTAAGCACTAGTGAAATGTATTGAAATGATTATTGAAGTTGAATAGGTTGTATTTATTACCTCTACAAGAATTTCGGCAAAAATCAGCCATTATCCAAAATGAATTAAATTTACGGGGACTAAACTTGTCCAAGATATCAAACGGTATCTTAAATTAATAAAAGTTGCATGATCACTCGTGTCCCAATGATGACTCACTTTTGTCCCAATGATGACCCACCTTTGTCCCAAAGATGACTCACTTTTGCGCAGACCTCGCAGCAGCCGCACGCGTCCCACGTGATGCCCCCGGGGCATGACCCCAGCGGGGGGCACTGGCCCTGGTTGCACCCCCCACACACCCCCTCCTCTGCACCTGTCTCTTATACACATCTAGATGTGTATAAGAGACAGGTTGGAATATGAGCCGTCATGTTGGAATATGAGCCGTCATGTTGGAATATGAGCCGTCATGTCTGGACGCAGGAATATAAATGCAATTGTTTCAGTTCCACTTCATCGTGCCATCATAAAATTTATTTTAGGATGATTGCGAGCCTAATTTTAGCTAAAGATGGTTCCGTAAACAATTTCGAAATAACTTCAAAGTGACCAAAGCGAGAGAATGTAATTATTTAAAGTTAAATCAACATTATTTAATACAATATAATTTCAAGATGGCGGCTCACCCCTGAGCGGCCGCGGAGGTGGCCAGGAGGGCGGCGCAGAGCAGCGCTGAGCAGCGATGTGTCATGACGTGTACTGGAATGTATTAATTTATTAATGCATGTGTTGGTGCAGCGTGTTGATACATGCAGTGCTGGTGCAGCGTGTTGATATACGCAGTGCTGGTGCAGCGTGTTGATCACGCAGTGTTGGTGCAGCGTGTTGATACACGCAGTGTTGGTGCAACGTGTTGATACACGCAGTGTTGGTTTAACGCAACACTCATCACCTCCTTTTTCGCCATATTCATCACCAAATTCATCACTCATTCATCACTAAATTAATCACCAAATTCATCCCTCAAGTAATCCCACGATCCATCATTCAATCAATTCACCACCCAATTTATCGCACAATTAATAATTTAATCCATGGCGTGCTTTTACATCATGTAATACACTCAATTCGTTACCAAATTCACCACTCAGTCCATCACCCAATTCATCGCTCAGTCCATCACTCAATTCATCGCTCAGTCCATCACCCAATTCATCGCTCAGTCCATCACCCAATTCATCGCTCACTCCATCACCCAATTCATCGCTCAGTCCATCACCCAATTCATCGCTCACTCCATCACCCAATTCATTGCTCACTCCATCACCCAATTCATTGCTCAGTCCGTCACCCAATTCATCGCTCACTCCATCACCCAATTCATTGCTCACTCCATCACCCAATTCATTGCTCAGTCCGTCACCCAATTCATTGCTCACTCCATCACCCAATTCATTGCTCAGTCCGTCACCCAATTCATCGCTCACTCCATCACCCAATTCATTGCTCACTCCATCACCCAATTCATTGCTCAGTCCACTAACCAATGCAAAATCCAATTCCCTACTGCATTTATAACCAATTTTTAGCGCATTTTCTCATTTATGGAAAAAATGCACTATAGTGTGCTCGTCATGTCCGTCTGTCCGTCTGTCTGTCCGTCCGTCAGTGACTTCACGTTTTCGTCGACGAGAAAATGCGCTGTCTGTCACTCACTGCAGTGAGTACTGAATTATATTTTTTATTCAATGCGTCACTCAAGACATCACCAAATTCACCAGTCAATGTATCATCCGGTGAGCGGTAGACCGATTACCAAGCTAGTCCAGTGGACTTACGACAGTCGTTGAGCCCGAGGTCGTCGTGGGTAGACCCATGAACGTGATGAATGATAACGCAGCAAACTAGCCTGACTTTAGCGTTTGAAACTGATTATTTATCCCTTATCTTATAATATCTATTCAGTAATATACAGATGTCGATGCTCCCACACGTTTTTCCTTTGACATCCGTATTAAAATATTTCACATTATTTAAAAAAATGAAAATCTCATCAATTCTTGAACCATCTTGGTTGAAATTTATTTTATTGAATCCTTATCGGAATATAGGATATCTATGGTGGATCTGAAAAATGATTTTACCGCCTGGATTCTAAAAACGTATCCTACTGTTTGTAAATACTTTTCGTTTTAGAGGTTTTTTTGACAAAAATGCATGGAATTATAGAGGGCTCTGGCATAGTATGCAAAAACATGCAGCATAAGAAATCATTTGCTAATAAATGTGGAAAGTGCGTGGTGAGGATATGAATAATTTTTACGATATGAATTCAAAAACTATGTCAGTGCCATGTATTCCAGCCATACCTGTATTCCAGTAATAAATATAAACTTAGCGGGAAGATGACCCTTGACGGACGGAGACCCTACCTTTTCCAAGCTCAGAGATGAAGTGATGAGCGCCTGCTGTCGCTGCCTGCTTTTATGCACTCCGTCGGCACCGCGCCTAAGACAGCCACGGCCGGGCGCAGGACAGTCACGGAACTAAACCTTAAAACTCTCATTCATAAGGGGATATTCAGAAAACTAAATCTTAACACTCTAATTAATAAGGAGACATTCAAATAACTAAATCTTAAAACTCTCATTCATAAATCCTGAATCGCAATCTTGTGAATGTGGCAAAAGGAAAAGTCAAGCAACGAGCAATTTTATGTTAGGTCCTATCTGTACAGGTACGTGTGAAGTACCGACGATACCAGTAGTCTGGAGTGAATACTGAATACAGATGATACATGGTCTGGTGTGAATACTGAATACAGACGATACCTGGTCTGGTGTGAATACTGAATACAGACGATACCTGGTCTGGTGTGAATACTGAATACAGACGATACCTGGTCTGGTGTAAATACTGAATACCGACGATACATGGTCTGGTGTGAATACTGAATACAGACGATACCTGGTCTGGTGTGAATACTGAATACCGACGATACCTGGTCTGGTGTGAATACTAGACAACGGCTAGACCTGTATTTATATCAATAGTTTGCTAAACCGCTGGTCACCAAGCATTTAACAGCATAGAATAGGTCAATTAAATTGACTATATTGTCATTGAAAAGTTCTGGAGACCAGCTACATCATCGGTTCTGAAAAATATGTGATATATAAATTAAAGGATACATGAAAGAAGGATACATGAAAGAAATTAGGATACAATTGAAAGAAAGAATACACATACATGAGATATACATGAAAGAAATTAGGATACATAAATAGAAGGATACATGAAAGAAATTAAAACCTATAAGTACCGAGAAAGAAATATCGTAAATAAAAACTTAATGTACAATTTCAATGGTATAAGAACTGTACGAATTTTTGAGACAAGGTTTCCACTTGAAAATTTGTAACGATTATAAAATCGTAACTATAATTTTATGGAATCCGAGTCATTAATCATAAAAATCCGAATTATTAAGTCATAAAACCCAGAGGTGAAACCTAGTATCTTGAGTTCACTGTCAGACACAGTCAGGTCGTTCGATGAAAGTATTCACGGTTTGTGAAGGCGTCAAATTTTTGACTATTGTTCATTTTTAGCAGCGTGATTTTCGGTGACGAGAGAAGCAAGGGGGCACTGCGCCTGACGCGCGCTGCAGGGGCGGCGCCCTTTCAAAGCCGACATTGTCTTCGTCAAAGGTCGGCTTTGAAGAAAAAAATGTCGGCTTCGTCTCAAAAGCCATGCCAAATATCCCGTGCTTTTTTCGCAATTTACTGGAAGAAATTTTATGCGTGAAAAAGACTATAACTTACTATGCAAGTGTTGATTTTTATATATTACAAAACATTAAATTATCTTATACGAATCACTTCAATTTGACCTCCCCACTATTGATCTCAATCGTACTTAAGTGTCGACGCTAAAAAAATATGCCCACGGCCTATTTCTTCTGTTTTTTTTTTTTTGCATGATGAGGGATTGTGAAACACACAATAAAAATGTGAATTTGAAAATGTGGGTAGGGGTAGCAATTAATCATTTAAAACTTACCCATCAATGCCGCATGATAGGTTAAATAATTATCACATGATACGCTATACTTCATATTCAGACATTGTAATTACAACATAACAGCTCAGCTGTTCCCGAACGTGTGCAGTTTAGTGATGAACTGAATTCATTATTTCAGTGCACTAATCCCTCGCAAAATCGCGCTTCACCTCCCGAGGCTTCATTTCATCGCGGGTTTTCGAATAATATAACTTACAAGAATCATCAATAAATGACAGGCATTAATTTATGAAATATTAAAGAAAAAACCATTCGCCGATCTTCGTCACGGGTTTCTGAGGAAGTCAATCGATCGTCAGATTTAAAAAGCACGCAAAACTTCATCGTCAGTATGAGTGTGGCAAGGGTTTGTAAATATTTAAAACAAAATAAACTTACCAAAAAATTGAAACATAAATTGTTCAATATAACTATCAGTCGTGCAATTCCCCATCGTGGATTTCAACTATCGTGGCCGAGGTTTTAATCGGAACGTACATCCGCGATAGCTGAGGGATTACTGTACGAGTTACACCCGCGATAGCTGAGGGATTACTGTACGAGTTACATCCGCGATAGCTGAGGGATTACTGTACGAGTTACACCCGCGATAGCTTAGGGATTACTGTACGAGTTACACCCGCGATAGCTGAGGGATTACTGTACGAGTTACACCCGCGATAGCTGAGGGATTACTGCACTGCTTGTATGGCTGAGGGATTACTGCGTGCATGGTTGCATATCTCTGGAGACTCGTTTTAAAGCAATATAACGTTCTCAATAATTTTATTTCCTTGAAACTTCGAATATTAATGTTTGTTAGAAATGTGCGTAATTAGAAACAAGAAATGCTCCTTCAAGATCTACTATATCTCATCTGAGGGGAAAAGTTTTACGCAAGTGTGATGAATTCATGTTTTCTGGCCGCACAAATTCACCATGTGATGAATTGAGATAAATTAAGCGCAATTCTTCGCCTTGAGAACAACAATTCTAGTTGATAATACTCGAAACGTGAGCCGCCCCCGGTATTCAATAATTATTCGACCAATATCAAACAACTTAACGCCAAACAACTTTTAGCAAACATTACAACTCTGTATAATTGAGAGTCCATTTCAAACGTGTCTGAATGACAAGACGTGTCTGAATGACGCGCGTGTCCGCGCGTTTTTTGGTAGATGACAAGCGGAAGAACAAATTTGCTGGTGTTTTTTACAAACAAATTTCAAAACTTTTTCTAGAGATCGTAATTAATCTCTCGTAATTAATCTCCCTAAATATCCGTTGTAAGAATTCATACCAAATATTTCAAAATTGAGAAGACAAAAGCATTCCAACTTATCAGTTAATCTCCTAGATGAACATGCAAACTTTTCTAACAATAATTAAATGTTTCGGCAATTATGCTCCTCTGGCGCAGATATGCGATCCTAAACAAAAAATCGGGGGGAACGCGTGTATTTCTCGTGCTGGCTTGCTAGCTGGCCATGCTTGGGGTTACTGGGTACATGCAGCCTTGAAAACTGCCATGCATAATCAATTTGTAAGTGGTCAGAAGTAACATGCAAACGTAAATTAACTAAGAATTAACATTCGTTAATTATAAACACCAGAAATAAATCGAACTTTGCAATTTTTAATAGTTAATATTCCCAGGCAAGTGAATGGTATCCTTGAACGGTTGTTCCTAGTTATCAGTAGCTCGCCTTGCTTTGTTTTCACATGTCAACGTATTATTACGCGCGTTTCTTCATTTCGTACGCACAATACAGTACTCAATTTTGATATGAAAAGCGTACAAAACATATGAAATATACATTATTTTCATGTTGTTGGTCAAAAAGGCCAGGAAAATCATGCACGCGTGCAGATTAAAATGGCTCAATTATTGTCTAAAAGGATTTTTCAGTCAGTGACCTTGACACAGACTAACTTATGCGCAGTAAATCTCTGTTGCCGTTGCAACACTTTAAGGCTTTTAAAATGTTATGATTTTTTAGGAGCAGTATTATTTAATAAAATGTGCGCTTAAACTGGATGACAGTAGTACTACACTGGTTTAATTAACATTGGTTGGAGTTTAGCAAACGCAAATCTACAATTTATGCCGAAATTAAATTACATGAGATGGAATGAGCTTCGAAAAATATTTGATTACAGGTTTTTTCAAGCAAACAGAATTTGATCGCTGCATGATTATGTGCATGTATATAATAATATTGCTCATTCTGCATGTAATTTAGAGAGCGTGCGTCTGCTTTCTCTTTGTTTGACAGTTTCTACGCAGTATGAAGTTTTGACACACCCAGTGAGAACAGCTGATCGTGTAGCCTTGAAATTAAATAACCTCATACTAGCATTTAGCTAGGGCTTGTAATATATTTCTTACAGAATATATTCTTCGGGTGATGCTAATAAGATGAAGTCATATATTTTCGGTAGACTATTCTATCTTTTCATCCACGTTCCTACAATTTAGAGAAAGCGTATGATTTATTGCTAGTTGGCATCTAAACCCCAGCTGATGGAGCAAAACAAACCAGTGTGGCACACGACGCGACAGAGCAAACGTGTGACATGGAGGAAGACAATTCGATTTTGGTAGATATCCAGCTGCTCTCTCGAAGTATTACGTTGGAACAAGGCACATCGAATGAATCAGAAGAAAAAGACGATGGTTGCTTCAAACCTCCGCCAGCCAAGAAAGCTTGTTTAGCTACAACATCAACTGCTGAGGATGAAAAATCAAAGCTTGAAGTTCGTTTGGGAGGAATTCTTTGTTGTGCTGTTTGCTTGGACTTGCCTCGTATGTCCGTTTTTCAGGTTAGTGGCAAACTAAATTCTTTCGTTATCTTAGTGTACCACTCAATGAATGATACATTCCAAGAAAATGTGGCCGTTGAGCTTGATTTTAACTAGCGTTTCTTAGCACCTCATTATTCCTGTCCGGTGCACGATTTTGCTTTTCAAATTTCAGGCTGATTCAGTTGCTGTTATTTTCATAAATAATCTGATGTGATAGAAAACAGACGTGATAGATTCTCAAACAATCTGACATTTCTCAAGTTGAAGTTCTTGCACTACAAAAACTAACAACAACAAATCTCTAACTTATCACGATTTGTGATGAAAGATCAGACAAGCCAATTAGTTGAATGATGAAACTATTCATACTTACATACTAGAACTTTTTGAAGTCAGTTATATACTCAAATATTGATATTCCTGCTATTATTTCTAGTACTTTTTCAATTATGCTATGGCTATGGCCTATTCTATTCACATTGATGTTGACTGTTGAAATCTTGCAAAAAAATGAATATATTGATAACTTTTGTCAAAACATTTGCTTCTGAATATGTAGATCTACTGAATGTTCATGATAAAAAATCAGATTTGTTACTTCAAGTTCAAGATTTGTCCAATTTTGAAGCCTAATGTTGTTCTGATAACAAATCTCTAGTAATAGTGGCAATGTTTAATGTGTTAGGCATTCAAAACCAATCTTGGCAACCAAATGAGCATACTTTGTTCATCATTTCATGGATCAGCTAATTTAGAGTATTGTCAAAAATCTTCCCTAAATTTCAATATTAAAGCAAGTGCTTATGAAGTACTCACTGTTATTTTTGCTAACTAAATGCAAGGAATGGGAGTTGAGCTGTTTCTGAAGGAAAAGCATAAGTGGAACAATAATTCTTAAGTAGGTATTCAAAATTTTCTTATGCAAAGTTCTTGATATTTTTGCATGTGTGTGATCTCCCTTGTGCAAAAGGAACAAAGGTGAGTATTGAATGATAGAAATAAGAAATACTGTCTAAATACATTGTTGTTTAAAGTTACATCTACTGATACCTCATTGTTTATTAAGTAGTGGTTTAATTTACATGGACATATGAAAATTATAGAATTGATGAGAATTTCAATTTATCCTATAAGTTACATGCTTTTATTTACTCATAAATATACCAACAGTTTTTATATATAACAAGAGTATATACCCAATATGTACCAAGAGTTTTTCAAGAGATATTAAAATACAATATTATATTTTGAAATTTTTTAGACACCATTCAAAACTTGCCTACAGTAAATGTATCAATTTATGTTCAATTGTTCATAAGAGATTTAAGTTGAATAAAAAAACTTGGCTCAAAGTCTTCATTTGATTTGGTTTTTTGGATTTTTTTTTCATGATCAGTCTAACTATATTTATATTTCAGTGTACAAATGGTCACTTGATGTGTGCTGGATGCTTCAATCACTTGTTGGCTGACTGTCGCATCAAAGACAACACTCCAACCTGTCCCAACTGCCGTGTGGAGCTCAGTCGTTCAGCCTGCACTCGCAACTTAGGTGAGAACTATAAATAATAATCATTGATGAGCTGATATTGATGCCAGCTCATTAAAAATAACCATTTCTATATTACCATTGTTTAGTAAGGTGATGATTAATGCTCAACTCATTATTTGAATGTATTACCTAAAGTTACTTGATTTACTTTGAGGTCAAGTAATATTTATATCAAAATACCCTAGAGCAGGGGTCTCCAAACTATGGCCCGCGGGCCACATCCGGCCCGCCATATAATTTCATCCGGCCCGTGAGAAGAAATCGTGAAATGAATATATAGTTATTGTACGAATGGCATCTCAGAATTATTAAAAGCTTTGACCTGCTGACTGGTGGCGCTCAGCCCGAGTCAGTTTTCCTCTCTCGATAGTGTGACGTACAAATACTAATACTGGCAGGTATAACCAATCAGTTGTGTATAACTGAATATTGTGGGGATGGCGGCCGAGTGCCGAGTACGTGGGGCTTTGCTGCTTCCGTTTCAGGGAGCACAGCACTGTTCAATATTCTTTTCTCTGTACTTTGGCAATACATTTACCTTAGTTATACAAAATAGCAATAATACTATTGTAGCCAAAGATATTGCATGTTTAAAATAGTTAAAATTGCAACCATTAAGTTTATAAACGAAATCTGCTGCCATAATATTTACTACTTTATAATAATATGCTATGCTTTTAACACTACATTTACAAGCCGTTTTTTTTCTTGTAGAATTAACTTGTAGAATTTATTTAAGTTATTTTACACTTTTGTTTTCAGATATGGATATGTTTACCCTTATGTTTCAGATTTTTCCATGTTTATACTTTAATATTTGAGTAAATAAAATCACAGGCACTGATTATTTTTTAATTTTTTATTTTTCGGCCTGCATAAATATGGGAAATATATAATGTGGCCCGCACATGGAAAAGTTTGGAGACCCCTGCCCTAGAGTCATAAATTTCATAGTTGCAATATTTTTTGTTACATAATTACAAATTTCTATAAGTTGTGATTAAATAAAATATTTCTTAAATGATTTCTTCCTGGAAATTGTACTGAATAATTACCATATTTATTATTGATTATCCATCAATAATCACATACTCATACTCAGTTCTAATCTAAAAAGCACATGCTCATATATTGTCTCTATATTTAAGATTAGAAGCGTATTCATGCTACTAACGTTACTTGTACATTTGCTGCTAGCATCACTAGTTGTCAAAAAGTTTTTAAAAGAATGTTACTACCTACGGTATTCTGTTTCCTGTAAAAATTACATTCAATGTTGATTTTGAGGTATGACTTTGGATGAGCTTCTTCATTGCATTCATCAATTGTGTGCTTTTGTACAATTTGGTATCAAGTAACTGAATTAGGCCAGGATTCTTTCTGCCTTTGTGTGGTGTGAAACACACTATACTGGTTACCGATATTTATTTTTAAAAATTACTCTCAATTGCATATTTTGTTGATTTTTCATTGCAACATGACTTTTAAAATTTATAATAAATTTTCACACATTAACAAATGTAAATTTAACTTTGGCTGAGATTGTAATTAAATAAATAGCAATTGTTAAGATTTTTCATGCAGGTGAATCTAGTGAAGAACTTTGCATTGACTTTAATGCCCCAGCATCTGATTCGTGGCTTTAAGAATTTTTGTTACTGTTATTTTTACTAATTCTTTATGTACTATCCAACTATATTTTACCTGTTTTAATGAGAACTTTTTCTTCAATTTTTCAACTACATTTGCTTGAATTTGTAAATGGTAATATCGACTATTTCAGTCCCATTGTTTAACTCATTAACTCTTAAATTACTTATTCTTGAAACCAAATTCATCAAATGCCCACGCTATAAATAGGATGGTTTCTATATTATACACTTCTAACTGAGATGATGATTTCACTTAGAGGAGCTTAATTTCTTTTCAATCAGCTGTTGAGAAGGCTGTGTCTGAGCTGCCAGCAGAATGCACTCACTGTGGCCGCAACTTCCCCCGCAATATGCTTGAAAACCATGAAGCATCATTTTGCCTCGAAAGGTTGGACCATAATCCAGATTCTCTTTATTGGCTAAGAGATGAGGTTTCTCAATGAATTGCCTTGCTATGGTAAACGTGTTCCATTGTATTAGTGTTTGAATTTTTTTATTTACAGGAGATTATTTATTACAAGAAGCCTCATTGTGCGCTTCAAATTTTTATTATGATTTGCTTAGCTATTGCTGAAATTGACTGAAAGTTTCTTAATATTTTGCCACTTAGCTCTAGAAGTGTGCCGGTTCCGTAATATCAAAACTCGCTTAAGTGCATCCAGTGGCCGATTTCTAGTCTGCGATTGGTGGGTTTGACTTGAAAAGCCACCAGTGATAGAGTGACGGAGTTACGAATTCGAAACTTTTTTTTTTGGCCCCAGACTACCTACTCTCTCCCTATCGCAGAAACGTTTTGTTTATTCCCAACAACACACTACGGTAGTAAATTGTTGATTGTAATTTAGGGCAATTCTTTTTCTTTGGTCTTTCTGTCATTTTGCCTTAGCCCACGTCATTTCCATCGCATGCAAGAGCTCCAGATTGCAGCACCTGCTTCCTCTTGGGGAAAGCGTAAAATCGTAGTGCAGCTCGGGCCTCAATTGTGAGATTGTCCTCTTTCTTTCTTATCTTTGGCCGGGGAGAAACTGATGCTAACCGCTTACAGTGCGAGCTTATCTCATCCGTTGGTGTTTCATCTGGGAGGGCTGCAGCCTGCAGTTTCGACCTCATTTACCTGATTCATGTCGTAATGTTCAGTCTAGGTTTTGTCAAGTTGTGCATTGTAAATTTCCGATCCTTATTCTCTGGCTTTCCAAAAGACGAGGATCGCTTCGTGTAAGAATGAGTGGTTGTTAATGTAGGCTAAGCACCTCATGTGACACCATCTTGCTGAGTCATGGAACCTCTTCAGAATTGCGGCTCCACTCTGTACTGTCAGAATTCTCATCTATAACATTGCTCCCGTCACCGATATTTTAGTTCTGTTCAGGTTTCTTGATTCGTATCCCCATGGTTTTTCTTAATTCTTGCTTGTTGCCAATAACGCAATCCACTTGATTCATGCCTGAAATTTCTTTAGGGGAAATTCTACTAATACCCAATACTAAGTCTTTCAGTAGGAGTTCATTGTACTCTATGAACTCGAGGTACAGAAGGCCTGGCTTTAAAACATTTATTATATTCCTCATCGTTGACTTCTTCCATCTATTTGTTACATCGTCCACACCCTGCCACTCCAGTTCTTCGGGAAGCTCATATAGGAGCTTTGATCTTCATGGTTTTCGTAGTACCATGCTTGCTTCATCATGTCTTCTTTTATTTTTTCGTAGTCCTCGTTTTTCTAAGAACACATTATTTTTGTTAAGTTTCGTTCATCTTGCGTAACATTTTGTCGCAGGGCACTTATTGCTCATTGCTACAAGCATCGTGGTTACAGTTCAAAGTACCAGGATTGGTGCAGAGAGTCGCGGGTTCGATCCCAGCTCTGTGCGCCAGTTTCTGGTCAGAATCGGCATGGAGGCCGGGCGGTTAAGCACAGCAGAATTGGAGCAGTGAGTTGCGAGTTCGAGACCGCAATAAGCTGTGAATATTATATGATGTTAAGAATCGGCGACAGGCCTACGGCCCAATGAACGCTGAAACAGCTATTATCTTCTTGCGCACTCAATTCTTACCTCTTAGGTAGGCCGGCTTGATACCACAGCGCTCGCTTACTCAGCGTCTTCTGAATCTTTGCCATAATTTTTAAGATTAAGACTTTCACTCAGGGAAATGGGTGAGACTTCGTCCTAATAGCGATGTACATTTTTCCTTGTGTGGGTCATCCTGACCCAGTTTAGCCCGACTAAGGAGCGTATCAATGCTACGTAGACTTTTTGCTCGTGCTGTGGGTAATAGTGTGTAACTATTTGGACAATATGACCCAAATATTTTGAGTGTTCAGTTGCATCACGCTTGTATTTAGAAATCAGATTATCAAACATCATGCAAAACATTTCTCAACCCTGTGACTGTGATCAGTAATAAAAATCGTCAAAATTTAGTCCAAATTTATTTAGAAACTTTGCTTCCTGAATAATATAAAATTTACAAACAGTTATACACTGCATAACAATAGAGATATCGAGCGTTTACTGTATTTTAAATCGTTTTTGACATCACAAATAATGAATGCCTGTAACATGCTAACAGTACAAAGTTCCGTGACCTTGTCGATATATTAAGAAGTTTCTATAGTGGATATAAAACTGGATTTAAAATCACTCGTGAAGTTGGCATCTGAATTGCTACCGTCTCGCAGGCCGACGCCATGCCAGTACAACGTGCTGGGCTGATGTACTAAATATCGTTCTAAATGAACTAATTTTCGTGCTAAATGTACTAAACATGGTGCTAAATGTACTAAATATCGTGCTAAATGTACTAAATATCGTGCTAGATGTACTAAATATCGTGCTAGATGTACTAAATATCGTGCTAAATGTAACTGCAAGCAACGTTGGCTATCCGCGTCTGAGGTGCGTCCTCACGCCGTCTGTACACGGAGCTAATAGTTTAAACCAGTACAATTTTCAAATGCTAACACACTAATTATTGTACTAGTACAACTTTCAAATGCCAACTGCGATAAATTATCGTTCTAAATGTACTAATTATCGTGCTAATACTGTGCTAAATATCGTACTAAATGTCGTTTTAGATGTACTGGCTGCCGCAGTGACCGCCAGTGTCAGTACAACTTTCAAATGCTAACTGCCACTAATTATCGTTCTTATTCTGTACTAAATATCGTGCTAAATGTAGTAATTATCGTGTTAGATGTACTGGCTGCCGCAGCAGTGACTGCCCGTGTCAGAACAACTTACAAATGCTAACTGCTACTAATTATCGTGCTGCTGTCTGTGTTAACATATAAGTATTGCTTAATTTGGTGGTTCATGTAGCCTCAATATTATCAACGTAGTCGAGCGACCAATCCATTGAACGAATTAAAACTGCCAGTTTGCCCGAAATCATTAGCGCCTGAAGAGATAAAGGCCGCAACTTCCCCCGCAATATGCTTGAAAACCATGAAGCATCATTTTGCCTCGAAAGGTTGGACCATATAGCCTTTCTTTTTGGACCATTTAGCCTTTCTTTTTTTGACCTTTTAGCCTATTTTTTTTTACCTTTTAGCCTTTCATTTTGGACCATGGAGCCTTTATTTACCATTAAGCCTTTCTTTTTGGATCATGTAGCTTTTCTTTTTGGACCATTTAGCCTTTCTTTTTGGACCATTTAGCCTTTCTTTTTAGATCATGTAGCCCTTCTCTTTGGACCATTTAGCCTTTCTTTCCGTTTCATAAGGAACAATTCTTATCCAGATTCTCTTTATTGGCTAAGAGATGAGGTTTCTCAATGAATTGCCTTGCTATGGTAAACGTGTTCCATTGTATTAGTGTTTGAATTTTTTATTTACAACAGATTATTTATTACAAGAAGCATCATTGTGGGCTTCATGTTTTTATTACGATTTGCTTAGCCATTGCTAAACTTGACTGAAAGCTCCTTAATATTTTACAACTTAGCTCTAAAAGTGTTAGAAGTGTGCCCTGTTCAGTAACATCAAAACTCGCTTAAGTGCATGCAGAGGCCGATTTCTAATCTGCGATTGCTGGGTTTGGCTTCAGTGATAGTGACGAAGTTACGAATTCGAAACTTTTTTGAAAGTGCTGCTCCATACTACTTCACTCTCCCTAGCGCAGAAACGTTTTGTTTATGCCCAGGAACACACTAGTAAATTGTTTATTGTAATTTAGGGCTTTTTTAATGAATCCCTGCTCTCCCGTCTCCTGAGGATTTGAGTGGGGGCTCTGCTCTCCCAACGCTTTCCTGCTTGTGGATCTTGCTCTGGTTTAATTGAATAAAAGTTGTTCTTTTGCCTTGGTTCTTCTGTCATTTTGTCTTCGCGCATGTCATCCCCATCGCACGCGGAAGCTCCAGATTGCAGCACCTGCCTTCTCTTAGGGAAATCGTAAAATCGCAGTGCAGCTAGGGCCTCAATTGTGAGACCCTACTCTTTTCTTTCTTATCTTTGGCCAGGGAAGCAACTGATTCCTACCGCTCCAAGTTTGAGTTTATCTCATCCGTTGGTGTTTCAACTGGGAGGGCTGCAGCGAGCAGTTTCGACATTTACCTGATTTATGTCATAATGTTCAGTCTAGGTTTTGTCCTGTTGTGCATAATAAATTTCGGATCCAATAGACATTAATCGCTGACATTAATTCCAATAGACATTAATCGCTGCGTGTAAGAATGAGTGCTTGCTCATATAGGCTGAGCTGCTCATGCGATACCATCTTGCTGAGTCATAGAGCTTCTTCAGAATTGTGGCTCCACTCCGTACTGTCAGAAATCTAATTCCAACACTGCTCCTGTCTCCGATAGTTTAGTTCTGTTTAGGTTTCTTGTTTGTATCGCCTTAGTTTTTCTCATTTCTTGCTTGTTGCCACTTGCCAATAATGTAATCCACTTGATTCATGCCTGAAATTTCATTAGGTGATATTCTACTTATACAATTCACCGTCACCTTTCGGTTAAAGTTCATTGTACTATGAATTGGAGGTACAGAAGGTATGGCTTTAAAACATTTAACATAGGTAGTATTCATCGTTGACTTCTCCCATCTATTTGTTCGATCGTCCACACCCTGCCACTAAAGTTCTTCGAGAAGCTCCTACGAGCTTTGATCTCCATGGTTTTCGTACCATGATTGCTTCATCATGTCTTCTCGTATTTTTTTCTAAGTCATCGTTTTCCTAACAACACATTATTTTTGTTAAATTTCCATTCATCTTGCATAACATTTAGTCGCACGACACTTATTGCTCATTTCTACAAGCATCTTCTTGTGTACTCATTTCCTTATCTCTTAGGTATGCCGGCTTGATACCACACCTCGCACTTACTCAGCGTCTTCTGAGTCTTTGCCATTATTTTTAATATTAAGACTTTCGCTCCGAGAAATGAGTGGGACTTCGTCCAAATAGCGATGCACATTTTGCCTTGTATGGGTCATCCTGACTCAGTTCAGCCCAGCTAAGGAGCGTATCAGTGCTACGTATACTTTCTGCTCGTGCTGTGGGGATAATCAAACACCATGCAAAACATTTCTCAATCTTTTGACTGTGATCAGTCATAAAAATCGTCACAATTTAGTCCAGAGTTATTTACATATTTGCTTCTTAAATAATATAAAACTTACAATTATACACTGCATAGTTACAGATATCTCGAACGCTTATTGTGTTTTAGATAGTTTTTTACATCACTTTAGCATAATAAAATCGTTGATGAATGACTGTAGCATAATAACGTAAAAAGTTCCGTAACCTTGTCTATGAATTATGAAGTTTCTATAGTGGAAGAAAACTGAGAAGTTTCTATAGTGGGTATGAAACTGTATGTAAACTCACTCGTGAAGTTAGTATCTGAACTGCTAACGTGTCGCAGGCCGACGCCATGCCAGTACAACGTGCTGGGCTGTGACTGGAAGGGACCGCATCGGGAGGCCGCTGCCCACGAGGCCGACTGCAAGCAGCGTTCGCTATCCGCCTCTGAGGTGCGTCCTGACTCCTGACGCCGTCTGTACACGGAGCCTATAGTTTAGGCAGTAAAATTTTCAAATGCTAACAGACTAATGCAAATTCGAATTCTAACTGCGACTAACTTTTGTGCTAAATGTACTAAGTATCATGCTAAATGTAAGTACTAAATATCGTGCTAAATGTACTAAATATCGTGCTAACTGTACTAAATAGCGTGCAAACTGTGACTAATTATCGTGCTAATACTGTACTAAATATCGTGTTAGATGTACTGGCCGCCGCAGTAGTGACTGTCAGTGTCAGTGCAACTTACAGATACTAACTGCGAAGAATTATCGTGCTGCTGGATGTGTTAACACATAAGGATCCCTTAATTTGGTGGTTCATATAGCCTCAAAATTAAGAACATAGTCGAGCGACCAATCTATTGAACAAATTAAAACTGTCAGTTTGCCCGAAATCATTAGCGCCTGAAGAGATAAATGGCAGAAGCTTGGAAGTAAAGACGACAAACTACAGTATAGCAGCAAGTTATCTCGCGCATACCCTAATTTCTATGTTTGTTAAATTACCTTTACTATTAAGCTTTGTGTCGTCATTATGTGACGTTTCTTGTGCCTCTTTCAGATTCTGCCGTTCTTACGGAGTGAAGCCGAGAAAGCAGAAACCGAGAAGTCCAAATTCTCAAATTTTATGAATCTCCTCTCGTACGAGAAAATAACATTTAATGGTGAGTTCTCAATGTCACTTTTAAAATATTTTACAAATTGCAAAACTGGGCATTTATTCCAATTCTCTCATTTCTTGCGATTTCATTTCACTTTGCCGCGGCACTTTTATTGCGTTTCATGCTTTCTGAATATATTTACTTATGGTGGATGCATTCAAAGGCTGCAACATAAGCGTGAGTAGGCGATTGGTAAATATCCCATGGATTTTATTAATTCTACTGTGTATCCCACTTTCATGAGGATTTATTGTCTAAACTTGACTTTTCAAAGTTTATGATGCGCTCATACTAATCAATAAAATATGCGTGAAATTTCTGGATCCTCTCCAACTCTATCTTGAATTCTAGCGTCATCTAAGCTAAGCGTCGCTTTAATTCTAGCGTCGTCTTTCGAATTCAAGTGATTTCTAGCGTCATTCCCGCGTTTTTTGTTGTATTGTTATTAATTTTATCATGATGGTCGCAGTGAAATTTCTGGATGCTCTTCGACTGAAGTTAGAATTCAATTATCGTCTTGTTAAGCAGCTGTATTAATTACTGTTGTCACAGTCTTTCAGAGCATTTATTATTCATCGTGTTACTTGTGTTTTTATTATCATTACGAAGTTAGTTCATATAGTTAAAAATTATGTATACCTCAGACGTGCAGATGCGGCCATTCCGCACTGAAGAGTTCAATCACAACCTGTACTACGAGACGACGCGCTTCTCGGCGTTCGGTTGTCTCTTCAGCATCAACATGAGACTCAACGATGACCGCAGAGACACTCACCTCACCAACGACCGCTACCTCTCATACCAGGTCAGAGACACACACCTCACCAACGATCGCTACCTCTCATACCAGGTCAGAGACATACACCTCACCAACGACCGCTACCTCTCATACCAGGTCAGAGACACCAACGACCGCTACCTCTCATACCAGGTCAGAGACACGCACATGAGTTTACTTCTTTGAAACGAAGTGTAGTCTACGTTGTTTTTACGTCATGTACGTGGACTAAGTGCAAAAGATCTCATCAAGACCTCAGAGTCTTCGTAATGCTGCTACTCGTTGCTTTAATGCTGCTTCTTCACTCACGTATAGCAACGTATCCATTCACGTAAATGTGTACTCCTAAAAATGTTCTTACCCACGGTTGTTATTCTAATTATGTGTGGTTCCTATTTCGCGACATGTTTTAGGTGAAATGAACTCATTCTGATACCGGTACTGAATTCGATGTTCATTATAGAAATTTTGATAATATTTAAATTGAAATTTTTGTGTAATGGGTGGTCGAATTTACTCATCCGCCTACGAGCTTGAAATTACATTTCCTGCATGCAACAAAGTCTAATTATTCTAAAGTGATTCCTACATCTCAGTGACATTCTCTTCAAAAATGTTTTCTAGGCCTTCAATTCTAGAAAGTTCAATCTGGCACAAAACTTTATAATTTTTAGTTTCTTTATTCTTAGCCCCGGAAACTCATTGCTTTACTTTCAAAGGAAATGAATTCAGAATTTTTTCATACCTAGTCATCTTAATTAATGCGTCAGCTTTTTTTGTGAAATTCAGTACTTTAGAATATCAATACCTTATATTACTTTACTAATATTAGTAATAGGTACCTACTTTATTATTAATAATACTATTAATACTAAATCTTATCATTATTTAGAATATTAATACTCAATATTTTTATTTTATTTTTAATTATTTATTTGTATTAATATACATATTAAAAAATATTTACAATAGTAATACTTATACTTTTTAATATGATATTATTTATTACAACAGTTGTAACTTTTCTTTGTGCAATTCAGCATTTTAGAAAATTAATACTTTTATTCAATATGATATTATTTATTGCTACAGTTGGTGCTGCGAGGATACTTCAATTATTTTTATTTTCTTGATTCTTTATTTTTATTAATATATTATAATATACTCAGAATATCAATACGGTACTTATACTTTTAATACGATATTATTTGTAACTACAGTTGGTGCTGCGAGGATACTTTAAATATTTTTTATTTTTTTTAATTCTTTATTTTTATTAATATATTATAATATACTCAGCATATCAATACGGTACTTATACTTTTAATACGATATTATTTAACACTACAGTTGGTGCTGCGTGGCAAGCCGTCCCCACCGCGGTTCTTGGTTCACTTCAGCATCGTGCGTGGCCCGTACGGCGGCATGAAGGTGCTGCCTAACGTAGCTCAGCACGAGTTCACTGAGACGCTCACTGAGAGCTCCTGGAACCTGCTGCCTCTGGTCGACAGCGCCGAGTGCAACAGACTTCTTGCCAACCGCAACATTGACTTCAGGTGTTGTATCTTGACTATTATACTTTGACAGAATTTCATCGATTTCAGGTATTGTGTCTTAACGATAATGTTTTGAGCGAATTACCTCAATTTAAGGGATTGTTGATACATATAACACCTGGAGCGAATTGTTATGAAATCAGATTTCTTATCAAACTTGTTGGACGTGTGGCAACCAACTGTGGCTTTCATTGTCAAGGCGCAACGGTAGCCACTGGATTTTTTGGTAATATTTATTACTCATTATAAGGTGCCTGCTTGTTAATTACATTACAAGTACCACGAGGGACTAATGCTCACAAACTATCGCGTGCCGGCGGCTGTGCTACTAGTTGTTCAGATGTCAGCGTACAGTCAGAAAAATGAACGAAACTTTGTCCAAATTGCGATGCAATTTCTGCCAATGAGTAGGTCATCCTGACCCAGTTCGGTCTGGCAAAAAAGGCACGTCAGTGCTACGCCCGCTCTTTGCTCGTAATGTTGGCAATAAATTGTCCCTATTTGGACAATGATCTATTCATTTTTCTGAGTGCATGAATAATTCATGGATAATTATAATTTAATCATTCATTTATCGTGCAGGATAGTGATGAGCCAGCAGCCGGTGAGCAGCCTCTGAACGGCCCCTGCTACCGACCCTAGAATCACGTTCGGCCACCGCCCCCCATGCTTTCTGCGCCTGTCCTTCCATCGCTGTCATTTCCACGTGGATTCTCTGTAGCCATTTCTGCGCCTGTCCTTCCATCGCTGTCATTTCCACGTGGAATCTCTGTAGCCATTTCTGCGCCTGTCCTTCCATCGCTGTCATTTCTTCAGTTTGTTCGTAATGTTCTTTGTCGTACATTTGTAGCCTTAAAAGTTGGGCCAGTTTTAGTATCAGTACGTTTTCGATTTTTTTTGTTTTGTTTTGTGGTAAGCATTTTTTTCATTCTTAAAATACAAACCGTCTTGGAATGTCTCGTTTTCGCGATTTCCGTGGCGACACAAGGCATTGTTTTACAAATTTTCCCGAGGCTTCTTTTGTAATTCGTCGTCAGAGTTGACACAGTCTGATCACAGTGTTAACGAAAGTTCTGAATTTCATTTGAAGGTCCCGCATTTTATGTTTTATTATATTATGTTTATGTACGTGGACATTTTTTTTAATATTCCATATGCACTAAGGATGGGCCAAGTCTCATCATTACTCGTCTCTTCGATACTTATTGCATTGTTGCTCATGTCTTCACTACTCATCTCATCCTCACTTGTGACCTCTTCACTCGTCTTCGTTACTCGTGACCTCATTACATGTGTTTTCATTACTCAACTCTTCGTTTCTTGTGTCTTCTTAATCATTTTCGTTTTTACGATTATTCTCAGCATATGGTTAGGGATGTTTTCCAGAAATCATTTTGTCTCTAAAACTAAAATTGAAAATTGCAAACTAAATTTAAATGATTATATTTTATTTATTTGTTTAAAACATATTATTTATTTCTCATTTGGAAGTTAAATCACCAATTAATTGTTCGTTGACAATTTATTTCTCTAGATGATATTCTACATCTGTATATACCGCAAAATACTTGCCAGATATTTGAGAAGGATCTCTTCCGTAGATGTAGTTGTGCATAGTTTCTAAGTGGCTTCATTTAGTGTTTTGTGTTACTCTTCTCTAGAATATTTCTTTTCGTCAGTTACTTGGATTAATTGTAATTGACTGAGTAGCTATTTTTGTCAGAGATTGCTTCTGTGGCAAACTTGAGTTGTGGCAGCTTGATTTTCTATTATTGGCTAGAACATGTAAATATTATTGGCTTGAACATGTAAATTGTCTCGAGCAAATATTGGGTGCGAGTAACACACGTAACTGTTTGTGTTCACTGATAGGTCAATCTGATAATTGAGGTAACTGTCACTCAATTATGGCTTCTTGTTTGCCACGATAACTTGACTATTTCACTGCTTAGGTTTTCATGTCTTCCTTTTGGCTGTGTCTTGGGATTATTTATCGCGTTAACCATCCTCAGCATCAAGTGGAACTCCGTAGTCCTAAGCACTGAGACCAGCGCACTAACTATGAATATTCAGCCGTCCTTAGTATTTATTTTTTTTGTATGTGTATCAGAAAATTCATGTATGCCTGTCAAATCAAATCCCTTCCCTTGAATTTTAGACACAAAGCTTACCATTCTGCTACCGCCTGGAAAGTTTTTGATGGTAACGTCTTGAATAAGTTTCCTTCGTTCACAAGCCAAAATCCTCTGTGTCACGGTCGCACTAGGTAATGCTAGGAATCTGCGTTACCTTCATGTAATCGGACCGATATAATCATTCACCGTATCGGAAATACCCAATGAGGAAGTCCAAAACATTGTCTGCGGATGCTTTAACTGCACTTAGAAGCCTATAACTTGCTGTACCGTCAATAAACTCGGGTTAAAAAACCCTCAGACAGATAACCTGCCATTAACTGAAGCCCTGGTGCAATATCTCATACAGGAAATGTTCAAAAGATACATTTTTATTACTTATGTTTATCATCCCTTCGTCTCTCGGAACTACTGCTGTAATGGTTTTGCTTGAAATATTTTGTGTAGAAATCTCTGAGTTGAGCTTTATCTCTTCTATGTCATACTTAGATCTCTGCATAAACCCTCATGTTAGACCGATTAATCTCGCCCGAATCTCATTCTAAAAACGGCGTATCCCATATAATTGTTTCACTGCCGTTTTATCAGTCACTTGGAATGGTTTCTGAATTTTTTGTTATTGCTACCTAAATTATTGTGATGAATATATACTTATGGTGCGAGCTATTCTGTTTAGTTATGCTTTTCGTTGCAGGTTCCGGTACATTTAATTTTTATTTTTTTATTTAAATTTAATTTAATTGCCAAAATATTTAACGATTGTAGTAGTTGAAGTAGGTTATGATAGCTCGCCATAATGAGATTTTAGATTGTAAAGTTGTCTCTTGTAATTGCGTTTTTGGTTCTATTGCTCATGATGTGTTAGCCTAGATAACATTTGTTTGTCGAGTAAAAATAGTTCAGGTTTAGATAACATTTGTTTGTCGAGTAAAAATAGTTCAGGTACTTGATTTGCAAGTCTACATTAGATTTACCGCTCTTATTTAAGTGTAAGACAATTACAATTTAGGTCTAAGAATAGATCTATAGAGCCGACCATGAGTTATTTGAAGACGTTAATGCCGGTTGTCAAGAATATATGAACAGGACTGCGTCCTGCAGCATCCGACGATCATGTGGTGTGTCCAGTATCACCATTTCACATGAGGCTTATTGGAATAACTGCTTCTGTTATGCTTTAATTTAACCTATTTTATAATAAACTATGCACTCAAGGCGTATGTCATTGCCAGCTGAATCAATAGCTTCGTTGTTAATTACGTCAACATTGGTTTCGATTTGAGAAACTTGGGCGTAGAAAACGTGCTGAAATTAACATTTAGCGCTCTATTAAAATTGAAGCGGGCAGAAAAACTTACGACATCGCTCACAGTAGCGTATTGTCAATAAATGTTGTTCTTGTTAATTTTGTCGGAACCAATTCTATGTGAGAAAATAATGCTTGGAAAACCTGCTGTGGAAATTCGTCCCTAATGTCAGCAGTGGGTTCGTGAGCGATTTTCATGCTCGTTCCGTTATCCAGGGCTAACATAGGGGCCTTTTTACAGCCTAATTAGCCCACTTGGGCCTTTTCAATTATGTGTGTTACCAAAAATCTATGACGACTTTAAACTTTGCGTACTTTTTTAACGGTTAAAAATGTAATTACTCAACCGCATTTCACAAATTTTCTGACAAATATTGAACCGGAGCCGGTTTTGGTCTTTTTTTTTTTTAGCGTATTTGACCGTTTCCTCTTGCCATCATCCGGCCTCCCTGAATCCATAGCAAAAACACAGACCGCTCAAGAAAAGTTCACTCGACAGCCATACTGTAATGTCAATAAAATAATTGTTCATCTCTCCCGTTTATTTTCGCTTTCTTTAATAAAAATATGAAGCTAAAGTTCAGTCACGTAATGCCTTTGGTATCAACGATGACATGACGATATTGTAACTCATGAGCGGCCTTCAGCTGTCTATCTCGGCTGCGGTCGTATACAACATAATCTAGATTCTAGACAAACTAAGAGGAGATAATAGTCAAAGATATCATAGAATTCATAGGAGATAATAATCAAAGAGGAGATAATCGTCCGAATATTAATACGATTGAGCAATATTAATGTAATTGAAACGTTAATAGGATAATAATATCGTCAGTTCCGTTCGCTTTGATAGTCACATTGATAGACTAAGAGCTGCATATCATCTCTAAACAGCCAAGTTTGGGGTCTTAAGTCAATGAATCTCGAGCGGTAGCTACTAGCAGCACACATCCACACATCTGTATTCTGAATTTTTGTACTCAAGAGGAATTTTGGGTGTCAGTAAAAAAAAACACGAATTGTCATGAAATATACCAGCTTAATTTTCAATAATAATTTATGCCGAAGCATCTTAGAACACTAAATTTCTCATAATACTCAAACTCTTACACAAAATAGTTCGCTACCAATGATTAAGGTTTAGTAAAGTTAACTATGAGATCGAATATCGCCATGAATGTGGATGACACGTCATCCTTGATACAGAAGACCTTCTGTTACTGTGAAATTTAGCTTGAATTACTATTTGGCTTGTTACTTTTGCTGCCACCCTTGAATGATGAAAACCCTACTTAATGTTACTAACTAGGTGCTGTATTTGCTTTCACACTCCTAGCCCAGTAGTGGTCTGCTGCGGAATATCTTCCTTATAATAATTAAAAGCGGATTATTATTTCTACTTCTTGCTGGCATGTCAGTGCAGTAACGCAATTTAAATTCAGCCGATATTTACCTTAGTACAGTGCGGAAGACTTTCTACTGTCTTTCAGGACCAAACAATGACTACATTAATTTTTTTCCTCGTCAAATATTATAAACAAAATACTCGTATACCTGGATTCAGCTCATATAGAACTGAGCACAACGTTATATCATCATGTTGACCACAGCACAAGTGTTGTGATCAATTACATATACAGATATACTGCTTTGCTCACATGTGTCCGAACCCATGTTGGCCGACAAGAGAAAAGTACTAAATTGCAGGGAAAGACTTATATCTATCGAATCTGTTTTTTAAAAACTACGGTACTAATCGTGCTCCTACGTACGCAGCATACATTTACGATCATAAAAATGATGAAGCTTCTTAAGAAAATACCACATATATCACTGGATTTGCTTTTTCAAGGGACTTTACCAGCTGATGCGTTTATCATTGAAAATATCATATTATAATAAATAGCTAGGAACGACCATGGTCCCAACCATGGTTGTACGTATCTACGCATATGCGTATTTTTATAAAAAAAAAAGAATTAAGGCAGATATCTGAAATCCTAAATATCTGCAATGAATTTATATGAATTTGAAGAAAATAACTATACGCAACTGGTTAATGTCGTAAAGAAGCCATGTGAAAATGCTCATAAAAAATCAACATTTTGCATGTAACAATATTATTTCGTATATCAATTCAACAGGCCACACTACATAACGCTACTATAATCATATCAGTTGATTGAAACAAATTGAAGCGTGACATTCCCTCATGCAATTTTCTTTGCATTTATGCTGCGAGGATGAAGCAGTAAGGACTTGCACACGATAAACGGCAAAGGTCACGTGCATTCGTAAAACTTTCCGATCTCGTGTCTATCTGAGTGATGATTTAGCAACATAAACTGCATGTTTTTGAAGAGACGCGTCTATTTATACTTTTTCGGTGTGTCTTACACGCCATTAACGTTTCTTTTCTTTCTTAGGTCTTTGACAGACAGCGAACTATTTCACGCTTGAAATCTGCGCTGAGCTGAGCGACCTTGCTTGGAGCACAAGTGTGCCTGCCAAAGGTTCGAGAGTTGCATCGTTAACACTAGCCTCTTGCACGCATGGGCGCCTTACATTTTGCAGAACATCAGGCGATCAAAATTAAAAACTACTTCATCACCGTAGTTTGATCCAATCATATCTTTATCATACCAACAAGTATTGAAAATTCCGCTATCCTTTAAATATTATTAACATTCATCCCAAAAATATCAATTAATGATTGGAAAGGCAGAAAACGCACGTATTCGGAACTGGGAACGAAAGACTCACAAATTCAGCCGACGTGATGAAACAGAAGAATGAAGTTTGAAAAAGATTATTTCGTCATCATATGTAATGATATTTTCCATAAAACACCTAAACTTGAAAATTTTCTCAGACCAGGGACTGTTCGTTCGGTGGACAGAGTGTTTGATAAACTCGCATTTTCTAACAGTGTTGTCGAACGCATTCTGTGAGAGAGCAACCTTGAAGCTACACGAGACACTCGGAGTCTATTTACGTGAGTTTCTGAGAGGGAAATGTTTATGCATGACGATCCGAGTTGATCCGGATTTCTATCAAAACGTTCGGTTAAAATTTATTGTGAATCATCAGTAAGACCTAATTAAGATCGCTCAAGGGGAACTTAATAATTATTGGACATGATTTAATTTAAACCACATTTTAATTTATGATACAATAATACAGCAGGAAAATTTAATAATGAGAAGTAGCATTTAAATTTCTAATTCTGAAAATTATAATTGAATAGTCTGTGATAAATTTGAATCATCATCGTAAATCCTGATTATGCGATGCTTCATTCCCCTTTCAGGTAATTTAATTGTGAAGTTGTAAACAATAATTTAGCGGGCATGAAGATATAAACTGTTGGGGAAGCTTCTCAAACAAATGAAAACACTCCTATGGCGTTAGCGTTATGCAGAGTAAGGAAATAGACTCAGTATTTTGTCTCCTTATTACAATCTTTTTGTTGCCAGCGGCATGTGCTCTGAGAAGCATAAGTAGAATACAAGCCACTCTGTACAAGCCAAATAACACCGTGTTTTTTCTTAGTTGAAAAAGATTTCCAAAATGAGGATACTACATTTTTGTCCCGTAGGCGTTCACGAGATGGAACAGCGCATGCAAGATCTTGCAGTTGTGGAATGAAGATGCCCACACTTCTCACTAATAGATTGTAGGAACTCTCTACTCTCCGTATTCTAGGTACTTTAAGAGATTACTTAAATACTACTCACCTAATGAAATAACTGCATTTGCACTGCGACGAAGATGTACATCAATAATATAATTTCATCCGATAAGTACGTATAGAATGAGCTAGTATCATACGGCGCAGGAAGACACGAATTATTTGCTTTATTTGCAAATTTGGGATGAGAGACGATGTTTTACGAAGCATTATAACTTGTGAACATTTGAAGGATTTTTTCAAATGAAGGAGAAATTCGAAGTCATAAGATAAATATCAAGAGGCGGTCACTCAATGTTACTATTTCGGGCAAAATTTTGAAAGTATTTAAATAATAATTTACATTAAAGAAATAATGTTATTTCAACTAAATTCGGTTACAAAGCAACGAATAATAAAAATTCATGGTTTAAATAGACTGGATAATTCTAAGAATTTAGAAATGCCCGAAAATTAGGCTTAGGTAGGTAAGCCTAACAGGCCGTTATAGCGAGAGGTGAAGTAAGAAGACACGTGGCACACGCGGCCTAAATCACGAACAATATTTTATCTAATCCTAATTCTTGCTTGTGCATAGAAATGTGAGGTTGTCTGTTTATAAACAGATTCAACATTCCAATGCGTAAATGATAAATAATTTAAATCGAATAGAATCATATTTAATACGAAATTGACACAGATTTTTACTTTTGCTCACACAAACATCTTGGTAAAACAACGTCAGTATATCAATAATTATTGTTCAGCAGTGGAATTTTTCCTTTCATTCCTGGTTCTCGTGAAAGCACGGCTTAGCATCTGGCAATTTGCAACTCGGTTGTGAACGGCCACAGGTTTGTGAGCTTCAGGTGACGTGTGTTTAAACCGGTCGGCCCTGATCATGATGAGTCATGACGAGATCACGAGAAAAACCTGTCGAATTTATCAAGGGCACTGATAATCACAGAATGCTTCAACATACACAAGAAAATTTATTTACCTTCAGTTAAATTGATGCTTAGTTGTATGTTGAGAGGAATGAAGCCATCGCTTTGACTGATTCAATTCCAGTAGACGTTGTCACGGTCACGACACCGATTCGACACTTCAGCGAACTCGCCTGCGAGCTCGAATGCAAAACCTAACTTCTTTTTCAACTGTGGCACGCATAACTCGTTCAATTATGAACGGATTTTATTCAAATTTGAAAATTAAGTTAGGTTTTCCGTATTAACAAA